TCCCCCATAGGAGTGTAGTTGTTTGGCAGTGAAACCGTCAAGCCTCGGAAATGTTCAGAACTGTTTCAGTGCAGTGCGAACGAGGATCGCCGCTGCGAATCGGAGAGGAGTCACAGCGCTGTCAGGCCAACAATCAGTGTCCGATGTCGCACGAATGTCGAGTCGATCAAGGAGTCTGCTGTCCGAGAAAACGTTGGAGCGGTTTTACTTCTCATGGCTTCCACTGCTGAGGATTTTTCAGTTAGAAAGAGTTTAAATTTGTAGAGACGATCTGTGCTCAACCGCTGAGAGTTGGAGATTGCACGGAAAACGTGAAACGGTACTGGTACAACGCAAAAGCGAGGCAGTGTCAAATGTTCGAGTATACAGGTAAGCAAGAGTTCTACTACTTGTTCGTCCAGTTAAAGATTCTCAAAGGATTTTCACCGTGCTTCATGGCTGAGCGCATCCAGAAGATGTACTGGTATTGAGAACGGGACAAGTTCCAGTTTGGCCGCAAAGAACCACAAGGGTCTCTCGCATTGGATTCAGAGCGCGTTCGTATTCTTGACTCGATCGCGCTAACCAAGTGCAAGCGATCTGATTGAGCGATTGAAGCGATGAGATTGCGAAGTATGAACGCGCTCTCAATAGGATTGCTCCTGGTAGGGAACAGAGACGAAGAAGTGGTCGAGAAGTTCATTTCCAACCATATCGGTAGCCGTTTCACATCTGATTGTTCGAGCCTTCGAGCAACATATGAGGTATGAAGAGTACAGCAAAAGAGTAGAGAAGTTCGCATGAGTGGCGAACATTGTGAAGGCCTTGACATGGGAAACTCCACTCGAGTGGTTGCAACCAGCCACCAATTGATGGCGATGAGCAAGATTGGTCTCACAGCCAATCGAAAGCGGCTCCCTCTTTCTCGAAGGAAGATTAATCAACTCCGACCGAGCCGTGGCTGAACAAATCTGCTCTCTAACATCAGGGCGGCCCTAGCCCTGGTACAAATTGATCACTGGCGCGGGGATAAGAAGCAGGTTCTCGAGTTGGAAATATGATCCAAAAAACGCCTTTCCAAGAGCTCCACGAACCAAGTTGGCCAGAGAAATTAGTCAGTGCTCCCTTTGGAGGAGAACATCCTCGACTTCAACTATCAGAGACTGTTCCTGACAGACAGAAGTGGCTCCCCAGTTTGCATGTTTATACCCGTTCACTCATAGCCTCCTAAATCAAGCGGTATTATAGTCCCTTATGTTTTGAGCGAACCGTTGCCTAACGATCATATCTTCTGCCGGAGGAGGAATCAATGACCTACTCTCGTTTTCACTGCGGATCAGGAGGGCTGGGCTGACGCCGCGCCACACAACGCTACTGACACGTCACCACCCAATTTACGCAGCGTGAAGAACGACTACATATCAGATGTAGCACGAAGGGTTTGTGCGTATATCTTGTGTTGCTAGTCGTTGGAAATGCAGTTCCAATCCACGCCCACTTAAACTGGTGCCCATGGAACTGCTTGGAGTTTTCAGGATGCCAAGGCAATGATAACAATTTCGAAACAGTTCTGGATTGCCAAAATTTCTGCAAAAATGCTATCCGTGAGTCCTCTTTGATCTGCTCTTATTGTAGCTGCTATAATCATTGTATCTTACAGCCGAACCAAAATGCATCCAAGGACAGGCGTATCGTAATCAGTTCGGTGACTTCACTACCTGTTCCCCGGGAGTCGGTTGTCCATCCAATCACGAGTGCTACTACGATGGAGAGCAGTGGGGGTGTTGTCCCACGAAAGGTTAGGCGTTTTTATTTGGTTCCTGCTCCATGAGCAGTGGTTTCAGCTTTGTTGTTTCAGCATTTACCTGTTCACTGAACGCCGACTCGGGAGTGCAATGTGGCGCCGGCTCTACATTTCGATACTTCTACAACGCCCATACACAAAACTGCGAGACTTTTCAGTATAATGGATGCGACGGCAACTCGAATAATTTCGCGAGTCGCGAGCAATGTGAGGAGCATTGCAGTGTTGGAGGTGAGTAACATGGTTATGGTTACTGAAGGAGACTGTGATTTTTAGCATGCAAGGAAATGGTCATTAGGTACCAATTATTTGCTCACTTTCTAGACACTTGTCGTAAATCGATAACGTTGCGTTCGTGTAAAATTTGCCAAAAATGGATATTGTACTGGCACATTCTCCCCTTACTAGGATCTGTAAACAGCCTTTGTTTCATGTTGTTTGCGTCCAGATAAGGCTGTATGAACACTTTGTGGTAGCGTTCACCGGCGTCTACCAGCGTCCACTAACGTTCCGCTACCGGTCCGGCAGTGTCAGCGGCTAGGAAAGTATAGATATCGATCTAGCGTCCACCAGCGTCTACCGGCGTCTCCAGCGTCTGCCAGAGTCTCGAAGGCTAGGGAAGCATAAGTGTCGTTCGAGCGTCTGCCAAATTCTAGCAGAATACCAGCGTCCACCAGCGACCTGTAGTAGAGAGTATGGGGAAGTACAAGGGTAGTAAACAGCTGAATTAGGCGTCGTGAAATTGCAGTGTGTGCAACGCTGGTAGACGTTGGCAGACATTAGATCGATATCTATATTCCTAGCCATCTAGACGATGGCAGATGCTGGTGGACTCCGGTAGACGCTGGCAGAAGCTAGATCGATATCTATACTTTCCTAGTCGCTGACGCTGCCGGACGCTCGGAACGCTAGTGGACGCTGGTAGACGCTGGTGGACGCTGCCGCAAAGTATGAACGCAGCTAATGATAGGTTGGGTGCGCAACTGCTCAAACTCTGCCTCGGGATTCACGCTGAAGGAACGTTTTGTATAGCTAGCTAGGTTATTCCAACGAAATGCTATGCCGCTGGCCAAAAGCCTTGATGGTTAAATTACCTCGTTCCATGGATCGTGAGCCTTGTCAAAATGATGTTCTCTTAGCCTCTGAAATGACGACTTCTTTCAGGTTGCCCATATGGAGGGACACCGCTTCGGGACCACTCGGGCATGCTTGCAGTCTGTTCTAGTCAAGAGAACTGTCCCAGCTCCCACGAGTGCAGTCCAGTTGTTGTCGGTCTGAGCACGATTAATCGTTGCTGTCCTACAAGAGGTGAGTAAGGATTACTTCAGCATATTAGGACGCACTTTCTCTGCATTGGAAATGCTCGGTATGGGAAGAAGTTCAAGTATGTAATTCCACTGCGACTAGTTTCTATAAGACTAATAATGACAGATCGTTCCGGAGCGCCTTATCCGGTCTGCGAGGAAGCTCCGAACCATTTTTCTGAAACTCAACCTCCTTGCACAAGCTTCCAAAAAGGCTGCGAGGTTCTCGTCATTTTTGCGAATAATAATAATAATTACCCTCATTTCTGCTAGCTAAAGAAGCTTCTATTGAGTCATGGTGCCTGCGAACAGCAAGTTCCCTTCAGGCTTACGCTACTTTCTAGAAGTAAAGGCGCGTCGCGATCACATGCCAAAAGTGACCACAAACTGTCGGCATGAAAAGAAACGCGGAGTACGCACGCATTAAGGAATATCCCACTGCTTGCGGTTCGAAATGTCTTGATTGACGCAGGTGCGAGTCAATCAGAGTGCTGCAGCTAACGCCACCTCCTTCACCCTGTTAATCCCTGCCCGCAACTCGGGTCTAATCCAGTTTACACAGTGCTTGCTCCGAGCATTGTAAACGCTAAGTCTCTCTGGAGTCTCGATCGCCGAGCGGCGGTACGTGTATTAGAGAACTCAATCAAAGGTCTGCGAACCTTCGTCGCCACTGAATGCATTAATTTCATAGGTGGTCCTTATTTCACGCTCTTCAGCGCCTTCCTTTCGCAGCCACTTTTTTTTTTGATTTACTTCCGCTCCCTCATGTGACCACTCTTCTAAACAAATTTTGACGCCTGAGCCTGCAAATGTCTCGATCCGCGCGTGCGCTGTTTTCTTAAGGATGTAATTCCACTCGCGCACACTCTCTCGGTTTCTATTAGACCTATTAATACGGCAGAGTACGCTTCCGCAGAGCGGCTTTACTCCGGTCTGCGATGAAAGCTCGAACTATTTTTTCGAAATCAACCGCATCACTGGCACATTACGCTTTCCCTAAAATAGGCTGCGGCGGTTCTCGTCATTTGTTGCGACTTATATTCTAAATAACATAATAAATTACTCATTTCTTAGCTAGCTACACAGCAAGCTTCTATGGAGACATCGGACAGTCCTCTTGGCAAATAACCAAAGTTAAGCAAATCAACAAGTTCCCGTTCAGGCTTACGCTTAGTTGTCTAGAGGTTGACTCCTCCACTTCTTTTCGCGCGTATAAGGCGGCGGGAGGATGACTTCGTCTTACTTTCATCGTGTTTTCCTATAGTGGACCATTTATACCCTCAAGCTCCTTCCTGTATTAACAATTGCAATATATGGTGACGGTCTAAACTAAATTCGACGCGCGGCTTGTCTTAGGGCTCCTCCACGGTCCTACAATTAATAATTATATTGAACTCAAGAAATGTCTTGAAAACTTCGTTTAGCGAAAATGTCAGCACATATTAAAGACGCCCCCCTCGCCCCGACGCCCTCCCCAAATCTGCCGGCTTCAGCGAATCAGCCATGCCGATTTTCGGCCGGGTGGCGTACTCTGCGAACGTCCCTCTTGAATGACGCAACCCTCGCTATCTAGGAATTAGCTTCTAAGATTGGGAATAATATTGAGAATAAAATTACCTTAAATTATTCTCTACCGCTAGCCCTAAGTGTACTCGGCGCTGATTAAAAAAAGCGTAGGCAGAAAAACTCTCTCATCACAACTAGGGCGCGGGCTTCTGTGCACAGAGTCTGAGGCACTGATATCAGTTCTTTATTGTGTGATAATGCGAAAATTATCATACTCTTCAGCGTACATCGTGTGGCTCCTCCCACCCAACAGGGAACGCAGTGTGGAGCGAACTTCGTGACCCGGTACTACTTTAATATCGTCACCAGCAAATGCACGCAATTTCAATTTGTTGACGGCTTGTGCATCGGCAACTAACAAACTTCCTCACAGCCTGCAGGGCAGTCCGTCGCAGATTTTTGTTATGGGCAGCAGTTGTGACGTTGATCTACCTCACTTTTTCGATTTGATTTGAATTGCACATTGTGAACAGTGTTTAGTGCTGTACACTCGCCTTGTGCATCGTACACGGGGTGTGCACAGGAAAGGGGCTGGAGGGTGTGATACCCGTTAGAAATTGGGAGTGCCGCTCGCCAGCATTGCCTAAGATGGCAGTAGCCTTGTTGAAGAGCGAAAATTTCGCGTCAGTGAACTCGCAGTCAGAGGTAAGGACCAATAAGAAGTGAGGAGTGTGGCTGGCCGTGCTGTGTGTGGTGAGTCAGGAAACGGCAGCCTGTTATCACTACCCTCCGCGAAATTATATAACAAACTAGGTCATTTGCGGCTACCCCTATAGATGAAACAGCATACTGGAAACATTTTCACCAGTACTATCGTGAATGTAGCGTACTGAACGCATCCAAAAGGCGCCATCGGCATTATATGGACGTAGCTGCGTGCGCCCTTAGTTTCGACATTTAGCCGGGGCGCAGTTTGTCGACGGGGGGGGGCATTCGGCTTTTCATAGATGTGCCGACCCATCTAGGTAGCCTTTTCTCGAGTTGACACGTTTTAGGATGGTGGCTAGACGATCTTACTCCAGCTTCACAGGCGTTCACAAGTTTTACCATGGTGAGATTCGTAAACCGGAACTAGGGAAGCAATGTTAGTACAAAATGCCCCCCCCCGTCGCTAAACAGCGCCGGGTTTCACTATCAGGCATGTAGAAAAGACATTCGGTCGATGAGCATCTCTTTTAAAGGCGCGAATGGCACGATAAATTGACAAGGCATAGAGGTCAATACGCCCAACACGAAAGAATACTGTGCCTTAGCAGGCGCTACATGGCGTCTTTCGAAACCGAGGGTGCCGTTATAGCGCCTAACCAAGGTGCAACATGTCGACCCACACGGCACTGCAACTGTTGTTGGTACGATGCCAGGGGGAAGCGGGGAACTTGTCCAAAAATGCTCGTCCAATGCTGTGCAGAACAAAGGCTTTTTCGCAGGTTTCTGGACGCTTAACCCCCTCTTTCATCACTTTCCCCACTAGACAGGCCCCTGATACTGTTTCGAGCAATCACTAAATTATCGCGGCCCATGCTTTTGAGCGTATTTGATTCCCATTCAGGATCACTGTGAAGTCTGAAATGCATGTTTATCCCACGGAATAACTCGTGAAAGCCAGCTAAGTGTGGTTTATAGCCGCTACACCATCTACGCCTCACCTGACACACGCGACACAAACCCTGGTCATGGAATTTGCAGAATCCTGCCTTTTAGCCAGCAAAACTGATTCACTTTGGAGCTGTTTGTGCCTGTCAAACAGGCATCCCAAGGAATGGCTGAAATGCCTACTTGTCACATACGTTGCACGCAACTAGTTTAAGTAGTAAGCGAGCGGGCGCCGTGGAAGTGGCTCAACCCTGCTTCTGTCCTAACAGCGGTCATTTACTAAGGTTTTATCCTTATGACATGAAAGGTACAAGGTAAGGCAAGTAACCAATAGGCACACGATACGTATAACTGAGCATAAGTACAACAATGGCAACCAATAACGGAATAACAAGCAATGAGATACAACAGAAGGTAAGTGAGATCATGAGCAGGATGATGCAGGTATTCCCGGTAGGACGAGGCGTCGCCTCAGAGATGGAGAGAGGTCCAAGCGGCCGTCTTGGCCTCGGCAAGCAGTCGACTCCCCGAGCTTCTCGTGTGTGCATCGCCACGCCCTGGAAAGACAAGATGAGTCATGGCAAAACATCAGGCGCCGCGCCTGTAACGGCGCGGCTTACAAAGTAGCGCATCCCGACATGAATAATGACTGATCAATTCACATATGTCCACACATGGGATATTAGACCTCTGGAAAAATAACACAAGAAGAAACAGAACAACAAAAGTCACTTGAACCTCTGAGAGTGAGCCCGTTAAAGGCAGTTGGCACGATAAATCCCCAAGACGAGTAGGATTAATACGCCTGGCAGGACGGAATTCCGCGACCCTGAGCAGGCGCTGCCTTTTCCAAGGGAGGTGCCCTTATAAGGGCCCTATCAAGCCACAACATACCGACCCAAACGCCCGCCACGCCCGCCCGCCCAAAATGGACGACCGTTCCTGACGCTCGTATTCATTCATTTGCTAAGCAAATTATGAAGCGAAGGGATTGGTATGAAGCGGCCGTGATGCTGCATGCATATATGGGTACACATATGCAGCCGTATCTTCGGCAAGATGCCTACGGGAAACTCGTCCGAAATCGATTTACAAGTCACTGAGAACGGAGGCTTTTCTTCGCAGGATTTTGACCGTTTCACTCCGTTCTTTCGCCATTTCCCCACTATATAGCGCCCTACTAGCATTTTAGGCCGAGCACCAAATCATCGTGCCAACTGCCTTTAAGGCTGGTTGTGGGGCGAATTCTAATAATTATATCCCAGATTGTGCTCAAATAATCTTTTACAGCATGCCCAGCGGGAAATGTTGCCTACGTCGATCCGAACTCTCAGATGCCCATCCACTGCAACGAGGCGCTCAGTAATAGTTGTCCTCACGGATACACCTGCACCTTCAATGCTTTGATCAATAGCCATGTTTGTTGTGGAGCATCTGATCAAGGTGAGTTCATCCGAAGGGTAAGGCGCAGCTCATCGCATTGATCAGTTCCCGTTTAGGTGTATGTCCCGATCAGGAAAAGGCCTTCATTAGCACTGCGGATATGTCACCACGGGAATGCGTTGTGAACGTGGACGCTTCGTGTCCTGCCAACTACCTATGTCGCTTCAACATGCAGCGAAATAAGTACTACTGCTGTACTAGCATCACTGGGAGTAAGTTTCTGGGGTTAAACAAGCGGCAGTGAGAGCCTTGCAATTATTTTTTGCAGGGACTTGCCCTGCTGGTAAATTCCTGCACAAGGACCCTCATACATCTATGCCCACACGTTGCACTGTGGGGCGAAGTGACCAGTGCGCGGAAGGCTATTCTTGCCAAAGTTATCTACCAAATTCATCACAAGGATTTTGCTGTACCAGCAATGGTAAGTACAGTACTTTCTGCTCCGGGACAGACTAACTAAATATGTTTGGGTCAGCTGTGTGTCCCGACGACGCCGAATTCTACGTTGACGACCAATCGCAATTGCCAAGAGCCTGCACAATGGGCTCGTTCGTCAGCTGCCCTCAGGGGTACAGTTGCAGGTTTGTTTTCTTTCAAGCTGTCTTCTTTTATGTCACTACTTAGTGATAATTTAAGGTCGCTCACATCCACTGTGGAAGGATTCTGCTGCAGAACAGAATCTTCAGTACCTGCGTATATCACAGGTACGAACACAGCTAGAGTTGTACGTAGATAAGGCATCTGGCAATAGGGAGTAGTCAGTAGTTCAGTTCAGTAGTGCAGAACCACCCCCAATCTACCACTACCGAACAACATTCGCCTGCTCCCTCCCCTCCAACTTACCAGAAAGTGCTCGTCTACCGGCGAGTGAACATACAGCACATTGCGAGAATTCATTATTTTCCAAAATCTCCCCGTTCTTACCATTAGTAGACTGATTACGTGTCCATCTCAGGGTGACTCAAATATGACCCCTTGTCAACGGTTGTTCTATGACGCTGCGGTCCGGTAGAGAAGGTTGCGAGAAAGACGTGGCGACAGTTCCTTGATAAATTGAGATGCAGCAATTTTGTGATGTGATGCGTTATATAATTTTTTTCGGGTCTAGGAGAGCTATAGACAAACAGTCGCGTCTTCTTATGAGTACCAGTCGGATCACCCGACTGCCGCCGGGTGCTCCTCCTTCTGTCTCACAGCCCACGGTGGCAGTTATTTTTTATTAAAATGTAGGAAAATGAGTTGAAAAAGCTCAACATCAGTCATTATCTACCAACATCTGGTCCCTCTTGCTTACTACAGACTTTCAACCGTGAGAAGGCTGCACCATATCATTAAGGACCGCAGTTGCGACATCAGAATGGGTAAAGTTGAATTAGTCCGGATGAGTCCTTAACACCCGGAAGAGGCATAACTGCAGAGTCATGGGTGGCACTGAAAAGGAGAACTTCACATTGCTTGTACATGTCAAAGTGTGTGTCGCACGGAGAGCTCGAATGTTACCACCGACAGGACGTCCTCCACTCCCAATTGTTGGGTTCCCTCCTTATTTTGCTTCAGTTGCGACCGCCACCTCCTAACACATCACATAGCAGGCAGATTTGCGAAAATTTTTTGACTGATGAATTTCTCGATTTTCCATTTCTCGACTTTTCCCGGTTTCAGCCGCATCTAATATACCCGCACTCCGCCCCTCCCGCTAGACACCATTGCATGGATCTAAAAGCAAATTAAAAGCAAGCATTTTGATGGACGGGCTTGATTCTGCTGCCATCAAAGGAAAGAGTTCACAAATGAGCCTCGTAACATCGGAATAAAGTCGTAAGAGTGATAAAAAATGTTGCGGCAGTATTGTATCTTACCGTTTTTATCGAGCTGATAAGATATAACTGTCACACGATCATCATAGTGTCACTCAATCACAAATTTTTTATGATTTGGTTGGCGCTGAACCACCTTGAACAGCACGGCGACTGCAAACATCCCTTATCAGCCCCCCCCCCCCATCAATAGTTTACGCTTCAGGTCGCTCACGTTGATCGTCCCTTTATCTCAACCCGCTATATCATTTGCTGAAAAAGGTATTTTGCCATGCGCTGATGAGATGCCTGTGGACTGACTATGAATACGATGACGCTCGACTTATTCTAATGCCCTTAATCGCATCTTATCAGCAGCTAACAGGTTTTTAATGGACGCCATAATGCGTGTTCTCGGCCATTAATCTATATCAACCTTAGAATGAAGAGCTAGCTGGTGGGCTGTCATCCACGCTATGCATATGGTGACCTTCCACTTCTAACGAGGGCTGCCCTCTTATTGAATCTTATCGACTGATTATCACTCTCCTGTTCCCCCAACCATTCAGTATTCCCGTCCAGCCCACCAACACTCACTTCTCTGCGATCAACTGTCTCACTTGCCATTGGACGCGGCCCCATGAAATTTCAGTGACACACAGCAAACACATGACACAACAATCGCACCACATAACCTCGTCATCCGGGCAGTTGATTAGGGCGGTCGTCAACGGGCCGCAGCGCGTGCCAGGAACTATTTGCTTTTTCCAGGCTAATTTAGTCATTTTTTCCAACTTTTCACTGTTTTGGCTACTTTCCCAGATTAGCAGCTCCTTATGCTCCACCAAGGTGGAAAAATGACTAAATTAGTCTGGAAAAAGCAAATAGTTCCTGGCACGCGCTGCGGCCCGTTGACGACCGCCCTAATCAACTGCCCGGATGACGAGGTTACAACATACACACACACTTAGCGGATAATATATAGTAGGATACTTTTTATCTTTTTTCACAATTATTATCATTCTTTGAGTTCTTTCCTTGCTGAGATTCGATTCCAGATGGGTGTCCTCCTGGGAACTTTGTCTTCATAAATGATGCAGGAGATACTGCCACATGTGATCCGTTCAATCCACCGAAATGCTCCTTGTCCAGAAGGTTTCACCTGCCAGTGGTCCACGGCAAATCAAAGGTGAAACTCAAATAGATCTTATTAAGGGTTCCACCCTGTTAATTCGCTTACAGATATCAGTGCTGCGGTTCGAATCCTTCACCGCCATCCGTCAGAGTTAGTAAGTGACAACATTTCCAAGTTTTTCTTACTTCCTTTTCAAAGAGCTGTCTACCTTCTAGTGCCCCACTCTTAGAAATTTAAGCCAGATCCTAGTGGAAAATTTTCTCTTCGCATCAGCGCCACAGGTACACTCTTACTTTGAGACGGAGTTAGGCGCGCTTGATGGGTCACTCGTGGGATGCTTCAACTTGCTAAGTTGTCATCTTGTTCTATGTTGGACCAGACATGACCGCAATCGTCTCAAAATGAAAACGTCTCACGAAAGCACGATTACCGCCCGCCACATTGAGTTGAATCACGCAGCCACGCCTACCTCATACATATAAGGAATTTCGAGCGTAGTCTCAATGTACGGTCCATGACGCACGAAAAAAGCTTTCCATGCCGTGCTGGGGTACTCTTGTTCAGGATACCAGACTACATTCAGAGACATCTTCAAACAATTTTGCTATTCCGGGGTGCTCTGACCCCGTGCCTATTTCGCAGGTGCCAAGAACTACACCTGGGCCAAATTTTTGCATTATTCTAAACATGTAAAAATTTTCGACCAAAATCTGATGGATTCCACTTCTAAAAACCAACAAAAACAGCAGTTGTAGCTGATGATGTCGTACACGGGTGGGGCGGTGACAAGGCGGAGGAGACCACTTCTTACTCTTCGAGTAGTGATCGGTCGAGGAAAAAAAAGTCAGTAGTGAAAACGCTGCGGGCGAGGGTCCATCCCTACTCAGACTGCCCCGACCGATTGTGAACAGCTGTAAGAGTATCCTCCCATCCGACTGCCAATGAATCTGTCTTTAATTGATTTCAGATGATGGCTGTCCGAATGCGCAGATCGCCTTCCGAGAAAGAAGAAGTGTTCGAGTATGCACAGCAGGCTCATCGACTTGTCCTCCTGGTTACTTTTGTCAGTTCTCCACCCTTAATCGTCAGTTCCAGTGCTGCGGAGTCAGTGGAGGTGGGTAGGCTGAAGACTGTTACTGCTTTTATCATCGTCATCACTCTTATTCATTCCCACGATTTCAGGATGTCCGAATGATTCCGTGGCGTTTGTGGGTCTATCCGGAGAACCCGAGAGATGTGTGGCCGGACAGTCGAAATGCCCCATTGGGTTCGCCTGTCAGCGTTCTATTGGAGGCCACCACATCTGCTGCGCTTTGAAAGCAAGGTTAGCTTCCGTGCTGTGACTCTACG